AGCGGTGAGAAACGGTCATCTATTATTAGTATTCAGTTTCGTAAAAAAATACAGTTTTTATTGCCACAGTTGTCAATAATTTGTTAAGACTACTATTTCTTAACAGAAGTCTGGTTTCCCAGTGTATAACTGTTTTTAAACTTATAAGAAATAGTATTGTATTACAAGTAGTGTGTGTCACACTATTTTTTTCACAGTTATCTATAATAAGTAAAGAAAACTGTTTTTAAGAGAATTGTGCATATCAAGCCTAGAACTATTTTAAAAGTTAAGAATACTTGTTTTAAATAGTAGCCTAGCTCTTAAGCCTAAAACTATTTTAAAAGTTTGGAGATACGGTAATCTTTTACAATGAAAATGTATACGCTCTCTAACTTTACATTCATACTTTCAAGCCAATACGCTGCCCAGGGACACCATAAAACATCCAAATTGTTTCAGATACACCATCAGCGAACCCACCCACAACAGGACTGCCCAAACAGCCCTCAAACAAATGGCAGTAGCATTTTCCACTGTCAACTTCCACAGCGAGGAAGTGATGTTATCCAGCCCATGGTTCCAGCATCCTCTCCGGCAATAGGACTTCTAGGACAAGCAACAAGACATGCCAAGCCCTGTCCCCATTCTTTAGTTACGCAGGACAAAAACAACAAGTATTACTGTCCATTCCAGCGAGTCAAAGTCCTTTTTGTTAGAGGCATATAAACCAGTAGTCAGTCTGGTTTTAAGCCATATACCAACTGCCGTCAAGTGTTAGTAAGAACCAATCCATAGCTTGCCTTCAATTCAGCAAACTCATCACCAAAAGTAGTGTAGTTTCTGCATTTCAATAAGGTCAAAGGCAGCCCCAACCTAGCTGGTCAGAGGTTGAGTTCAGCCACTCTAGAAGGTTTCTAAAGATTGGCATGTTGAAACCAGTCCAAAGCATAAATTGCAGTTCCAGCTCCACTATTTGACACAATTCATAGATTCAAAATCCTCCACAAAGCATGAACCAGACAAAAATCTTAACTTCAAACACAAGCAGTCAAGAATCATGTGCTCTGGGCAGATTTGGGCATTTCCCGGACCCAACAGCCTACTCATACAGTTCTTCCATGGCTTCAGGTCCTCCTCAACAAAAAACACCCACAAAAAACCAACACAAGACTCTCATGGTTCCAAAGTCAGGACCATGGTTCAACCCAAAACAAGAGCAAGAACATAACGGAATATCAACCACAAAAACAAATTCACAACAGCAAAAACATCCACAAGAATCAACTGACCAAGACGAAACAAGAACCAGTGAATGCCAGCTCCAATGTCACGTAGTGAACAGTGATTTCACAACCTCAAAAATCCTCAAATCATATGGAAATTCAAATGTTTGTGGAATCCACCTTCATACCTTGCGTGAAAGTAGCGACGTTGACCTCCAATTCGTCGGATTCCATCTTCAAAGATCAGCGATTAGACTCGGATATAGATTCACTTGCCGAAAGCGAATTCAGAGCTCCAAAAATCACAAGAATCGAGCCAAAATCAAGGTGGAGATCGGAAGTCAACTTTGCCAAATCTGATTTGCTTGCTGACCGATTCTCGTGGAACCGTGCGCCAAATCCTGTTCGTCTATTGCATCAAATCCGAAGGGAAGGAAGAACAAAAAAGAAATTGTGGGTTTTCCTCTCATCTTTGCTAGCATTTCTGGGATTAAATCTTTATCTCATTTGAGCTTATTTAGGATTTTTGTGATTCTTTATTTGATAGATCCCATCTTTATGGCGGTGAAGAAGAAGGAACCCAATGAAAAGAGAAATTAAGAAGAGGGAGAATGAAATTTAGAGGAGGGAAAATGAATTTGGAAAGAAGGAAATTAAAATTGTATAGATTTGGAGGTAAACTTTCAATTAGAAAATGAATTTGGAAAGAGGGAAATGAAAATTTTTAGAATCAACAATCTGATTTTTGAAACAAAAAGGTTTTTTGGTCCATAAATTTTCTCACTCTTATGTACTACTTTCAATTAGGGGTATATTTTTTTGTTAATTGAATTTCTTACTCACATGGATCCAATTCCACAAGATACCCATATTTTTGACCGTAAAACATCATACCGGTACTGATAACTAAAATACTTACTTGCATAAGTCCAATTTGGCTGATCAAATCTTTAAATTCATCAGATCGGATATAATTAGATCGAATTAGACCAAAACAGATCTAAGCGGATCAAATCAATTAGGTGTGATCTAATGCATTTAAAGATTAGATTCGGAAAATAGGACACAACGTATACAAGTAAATAGAACTTTTTGAATATTTGATATGGTCTTATTGGACATGAATTTAATTTGATCCAATTAGATCTATTTTTGTTCGATTTGATCTGATTAGGTCCGATGTGATGCATTTAAAGATGATATCAGGCAATTAGGATACAACCAATATAAGTAAACAGGTTTCCTATGAAAGTTTGATCTGATCTTATTAGATTCGAAAATCATTTGATCCGATTAGATATGTTTTGGTCTAATTAAGTCTGATCTGATGTTTTAAAGAACTAGAACACAACGTATACAAGTAAGTAGATCTTTTTAAAGATTTGATCTGATCTTATTAGATTTGAATTTGATTTGATCCGATTAGATCGATTTTGGTATGATTTGATCTAATTAGGTCCGATCTGATGCATTTAAAGATTATATTGGGCAATTATAACACAACCCATACAAGTAAATAGATCTTCTTTGAATATTTGATATGATCTTATTATATTCGAATTTCATTTGATGAGATCAGATATGTTTTGGCTTAATTCGATCTAATTAGGTTCGATCTGATCCTTTTAAAGATTACATAATGAAAATAGGACACAACCTATATAAAAGTTTAGATTTTCTTAGAAGATTTGATCTGATCTTATTGGTTTTGAATTTGATTTGATCTGATTAGATCTGTTTTTGTCCAATTTCATCTAATTACGTACGATCCGATGCATTTAAAGATTAGATCAGGGAAATAGGACACAATGTATACAAGTAAATAGATCTTTTTGAAGATTTGATACGATCTTATTGGATTTGAATTTGATTCGATCATTTCTTTTTGGTCTAATTCAATCTAATTAGGTCCGATTTAATGCGTTTAAATATTAGATTAGGCAAATAGGACACAACCTATATAAGTGAATAGATTTCCTTCAAGTTTTGATCTCATCTTATTGGATTTGAATTTGATTCGATCCGATTAGATCTGTTTTGGTCTGCTTCGATCTAATTAGATCTAATCTAATGCATTTAAAGATTAGATTAGATAAATAGGATACAACCTATACAAGTGAATAGATTTTCATATTGGATTGGAATTTGATTCGATCCGATTAGATCTGTTTTGGTCTGATTCGATCTAATTTGGTATGATTCAATCTAATTAGATCCGATATGATGCATTTAAGGATTATATCAAGAAAATATGACACGACCTATACAATTAAATTGATTTTTTTTAAATATTTGATCTGATCTTACTAGATTTGAATTTGATTTGATTCGATATTTTTGAAGTTTTGATTTGATTTTATTGGATTTGACTTTGATTTCATCCGATTAGATCTGTTTTTTGTCAGATTTGATCCAACTAAGTATGATCCGATATGGTTCGGATATCAATCAGTTCAGATAGATTTCGGGTTGAGATAGATTTCGGTTTAGATATATTTCATCACTTCATATTACCTTATACTACAAACTATGAAAAAAATACGCATATTACCTTCAACTACTACCTCCATCCCTGAATATTTGTTTATTTTTTACTCTTTTTGTCAAAATTAGCAAACTTTGATATGAAATTATATAAAAGTGATATTAGATATTGATACGTACAAAAATAATTTTATTTAATTTATTTTATAAAATATTTCAAAATATTATTTATTTAAGTAATATACAATATATATTTTATTTAATTTTAGATCAAAGATTAAAAATAATTGATTGCAAAATGTAAAATTTGAACAATAACTCGAAGTCTAAAAACTAAAACATTTTGCATCCCTTTCTCCAAAGCAGCGCTGCATTTTGACAACTTCCCCCTCAAAATTTAGAATTCCTCTTCACTTTTAATTTCAAAATCACCTAAAATTTCATAACCCCTCCTTAAATTTTCAAAATCCCTCCTTTTTTCCTATTCTCTTTTGCTATCTCACAAGTCCATATCATAGTTTCACACACGGCAGAAAATATCTAGAAATATCGCCATGAACAGTGCCACGAGAATGAGATTTCTCCTCTTGCATCGATTTGAGCTCAAATTCGTGAGATTTATGGAACCTCGGATGCACCATCAGCTCGTGAATCCATATATGAGGAAGTTTCGCTGATTTTGGATATTAAAATCTGAAGAATCGGAAGTCAACGCAGGTCTGGCACTGTTCATTCGAAATTTTGTCTCTTTGATTCACGATGATCCAGACTTCTTTGATGGCTAATTTTTGGATATACTGAGCGGTTTGCAATCCCCTTCCATCCTATGAAGTTGAATTTCATTATGAATTGATTTTCATTTCGATTTGAGGGGTTTATGGGTTACGAACTACTGTTCATAGCGAGAACCTTGATTATGAATGCTTATGTTTTTTTCCAAGTTTTGTGGATTCTTCCCTGCTGTTTTGAGTTCCTTTGAGATGCATATGAATGATTTTACTTGTACGAGTTCCTAGTATGAATAGCTTCTGGTGTTTTTGACTCCTTTCACGGCATAGTTTCCCAGTATGAATAGCTGCTGTTTTTCTTGTTTCCTGGTAATAATAGGCTCATAGCTAGAGATCTGTAGTCTTTTTAACTCCTTTCACGACATAGTTTCCCATAGCTTTTAATGTTTTCATTGTGAGGCTTCATATCAAACTTGTGATAGATTTTCCCTTCCACAAAAAGCCTTCCCTGCCCTGATTCAGAAAATATGGACATTGAAATAAATTCTGTTGACATTCCCATGGAATAGGATTTGGGAATGTTTCCAGGTTCGCTACCAGCCAACCCCATGGATTATGTGTGATTTGTGTTAGGTTTACATGCTTTGATGTCCAATAAACTGATTGATTTTGTCTGATTTTGAAAAAAATCGTACGGAATTGCAGAGATATCAATGTTCTGATGACGGCATTGAAACAGATAAAAGAGAAAGCTCATAAGGACGATCGGAAGAATAATGAAGAGACGATATCTAGGTGAGTGAGTAGGGCTTGCAGTTTCTCGCGGCTCAAATTTCAGCCATATGCTTAGCTGTAATTCTGGATTTGGTCAATTTACAGATTCAAACACTGATTATGAAGATTGTTGTGAATTTCAGGTTCATATAATCATATGGAATTGTAGAACGTATTTGATTGGTTCATTTTGTGCAGTTCTTTTGACCTGCTACAGACATGTGTTAGTAAATTCAGCCTAGTGTTTGGGAATAGATCATCCTTGGTACTCTATTTACTTTTGTATTTGAAGACAATGGAAATGATATTATACTGTGGTGGATTTTTTTCTGTAATTTTTTTCATCTTCCTTTGTTGCATTTGATTTAGGACATGAATAAGGACAAAAGAGCTTTGGAGAGTTTCCATATTGGGGAGATCCAAAGAAATGGTTGTTGCTATTTCATTGAGATGTTCAAGACAAGGTTGATGAACATTTAATTTTCTTAAAAGAGTGAATATATTAATCTCATTTTGTGATACCATCTCAAAGTTTTCATTTCTTTTGCTTCTTAAGGCTCCTGTTAAGATTCTTGCCATATTCATTGATGAAGATAAAGTGCGAGAAGCGGGGCTTGGGGAGAACTTACGAGTCCGAGTATCTGGGATTGAGGAAGATGATATCTTATCAGGCTTTGTTTTATTTTATGCAGTGTTGGTAAATACCATTCAATTATTTTCTCTGTTTAGTCTACTTTTTCATTTTTCAAAGCTTTATGTGTGGATGCTTCTAAATTGTTTGTTCATTTTGTTACACAGTAATAAAGTGGATGCTTTGCAAGAAAATATTTAAAGGTATGCAGATTGAGGACTCAAGTGGATGCTTTACAAGAAAATATTGCTAGAGCAAGAGATGGATTCAAAAATGTTATTGAGGGGATAAATAACTAAATTAGGTGTGCCAAATGGACAATTAGAGTGTGATTTTATTTATGTAAATATTAAATTATTGGATGTTATTTAGACTTGGATTTTATGTATTTAGATATTATTTAATATATTCTACATTTTAGAATTTGTTTTTGTTTCATGATCAATATTTTGGAATTGAAATAAATTTTATTTATTAAATATAAATGTAAATAAAAATATAGTAGTCTTTCAAATAGATTTACAATATATTAAAATAGTTTTCTAAATCTTTATAGAACAACTACACAAACCTGTACTGTTAATAAACGTTAGACAATAGAAATAAACAGTTGTGTGAAATACAAAAATATAGTTGTTTACATTTTACAAATACAACACAGAATAGCAGTTGTCTTATGCAAACATACTTAGTTGTCTTCGGAGCAGTAGTCTGATTTACAATTTGACTACTGTGTAAAAAGATAGTTTGAATATTTCTAGGACAACTACAAAAAAGCATAGTGTTATTCAGCACTATACAAGTGAAAGAAACGGTTGTTTAAAATACAACATAATTAGTAGTCTACATTTTAGAAATATAACACAAGATAACAGTTGTCTGATGCTATTTTTGTTTAGTAGTCTTCCAAGGAGCAGTCTGATCTATCTTTCAACTACTATTGAAATTAGATGTCTATATTGTTGAACGACAACACCAGGCAATAGGAGTCTGAAGTCGAAAACAATAGTAATATTCATTATAGATAGACAACAAAACGTCACAGTTGTCTTTAACTCCAGAAAACAGATGTCTTACTCATACGAGGACAACTTCAAAAACATGTACTCTGAAACATCACAAAATAGGTGTTGTCAACCGTATTACACAATTGTTTTTAGACAGTAGTCTGTAAATATATCAGACAGCTGCTCGGAAGACTACTGAAACTAGCACAGTTAGACTACTAAAAAGAACAGTTGTCAGCATCTGTTTTTGACGTAGTGGCCGCTGGAGATGCTGCTGGTGTGCGTTGCTTCTGGGTACGGCAGTCGCCGGTTGAGAGGGGGGGAGAACGCCGAGCAGAGGGCTGCGGCGTTAGGGTTTGGGGAGTGCGGCTGAGAGAGACGGCGGACGAGAGAGAGAGATAGTTTCTAGGTTTTAGGCCACGGTAAGAGGCTCTGATACCATGAAGAATAATGATTTTCTCTATTGATCTCGGAGGTCAAGGGAAACTACCAAATATATATATATAATATTAAATATACAATATATATTTAACAAGAGGTGTGTAATAAATTAGAATATTGAAATGATAAGAAACACCAAAAACATAATTTATATTTATAAATTAATATGTAATTAAAAACATAGTTTCTGTGTAAGTAACACCAAAAAAGATGTGTAATAAAATAAAATGTTGAATTGGTATGTAACACAAAATACATAATTAATATTTACAAATTAAGATGTAATGTGTGTATAAAAATGTAATTAAGGAATATTAAATTTATGATACGGTGTTATAAAAAGTTAAATAGCACGGTACCGTGTTTCATTTTAACTTTATACATATTTTAAATAAAATAATTTCTTTATATACGATTTTCATAAGAATCAATAATAAATACACTGTAAGTACCTATGAAATAAATAAAATGATTTCCTTATTTCATTACATGTTTAACTAGTATCACATCCGTGCGTTGCACGGGTCATTTTTATGTAATTAAATTCAGATCATTTTTCAATGATAAAAAATGAGATGCAATAGAATATTGATCAGAGATTATATTATTTTAAGGTATAAAACATCACTGTTTTACAAATTTCAAAAGACTTCTTTATATACTACATTATTTGTATAATTTGTGGGAATATTGTCTTCATTGTATCAGAGATTGCCCGGACTCTTGTTAAGTCAATGTGTACGAAGTAACCACATGAAATTGTTTTCTTTGAAGCTTGAAAAGAATTCTTGTATTGGACAGTGTTAATGATAGTCTTGGAATAACGACTTCTTCACCCATGTGGTTTCCTGATAATATTTTTCCTTGTATTGAGTGATTAGCCAACCGGGTTACTATCGTCATTGCGTACGTTTTTATTTATTTTTCTTTTTATGAACACTTACCTTTTCAAGCAGATACTTTTACTTTAATTTATTTCGTTGCATTAATGTTCAAATTTTTTTATTACCATTTTTATATACATGTTAAATATGTACATTACTCTAAATGTATTTTCCTATTTTTTATTACAATTTCAACAATCATGTTTTAATTAACATAATAACATAATAATTTATTTCGTTCAATTAATTTTCCAAATCATTACCTTTAATATTTTTTTAATTAGCATTTTTGTATACGTATTAAGTATGTACTTTACTCTATACGTATTTAACTATATTTTATTACAATAAATGGCAATTTAATACATGTTTTTATTAACATAATAACATAATAATATATCTATTTTATTAGCCTTTCTTTATTATGGTAATTAGATTTTTAATTACCTTTTTTATATACGAAGTTACTTTTTATTAACATGGCGTGTGTAAATACTTTATTACCAAAACATATGTTTATATTAACTTTACCGTTCAAAATACATGTATATATTACCATTTTTAAATGTAACAATTTATTGGATATTATTTCATATTATTGCTTTAAAGTAAAAACATGTGTCTATGGGTTTTACCATTTATGTAGTATTGTTTATTATTTAATAGCATTTCCTAAATATAATTAAATACAATTACCATTTGTATAAACTACTCAAAAAAGGATTGATTTATTAATGGTAATAGTATGTAGTTATATGTTTGCATACTATAATGTAATATTTTATTACATTTTCCTCTTATAATTTCTTTTTTGGTTGATATATTTTTAAATGCTTCGGTCATGTTCAATTAGTAATTATTATTTAGATTAACTAGTATTTTTACCCGTGCAACGCACGGGGTCGAACAAAATTTTATTGGTTCTAAAATTTTTTTAATGCAATATTTTTTCTCAGAATAAAGAAAATATATTTCCCTATGATTTTTAATACTATATACAAAAATTCCAAAGTAGAATAAACAATATTTGAGGAATTGAATGTGTATTCAACCAAGTTTTTTTTAATACCAAACTTTTTGAAAGACTATAGGGTATATAATTTTTTTGATATAGTTGCAAGGGTATCATTGTCATCTAGAACCAATATTTTTAGTTGTGTTTTTGTCTTCACTCATGGAACCATTACATAAAGCTGGCAATGAGTGAATACCAACTTGGTTAAAAATAATGCAAGAAATGACAATGTTTGACTTTGACTTTTGTTGATAGTAATTGCAAAATATAAGACTATTGAGATTTGCCTTATAAATAACTTCAAGAGTAGTCTTAGATTAGATGGTATCAATTTCATTTGGAGTATGTAAACTTTTTTGCTGACTCGATTTCTCAAAACCACAATAGACCAACAACATTCTTTCACGGCTCTTCAAGGATTAATCGTGTACCATTACATAATCCATATATTTGGTCAATGTTTCTCAATATCAAAAATGTTAACCCATTTTTAATATTATTTTGTAGTTTTGGATCCCCGAACATTTGATTTCATTTAAAATTTAATTGTTATTTTAGGGTCTGTTTGGGAACAGTGTTAGCGATTAGCGTTTTGAAAAGGCTATCTACGGGCAGCGTTTAGCGTTAGCATTTTCAATGTAATCTGCATCGTTAAAATTTTATTCAAATCGCTAACGCTAATCTCTAACGTTATTCTCAAACAGGTCCTTAATTGTCATCAATAATTACATCTGAATCAGCCTGACATGAAGAACCAAAACTCAGGCACACCATTTCATATTAGGGAATGAGGGATATGACAAATTCATTTACCATTTCTACAACCTCAAGCATGGTCCAGTAGTGCCATATCCTAAAAAATGAATAAATTTTCATACTCTCCAATAGGTTCAATTAAGATAAGTGAAGTCCACTATACTTTTCGCAAAATAACTTTTGTCTAGAATTAATAATTTATGCTGAATTTTAAGGTGAGTTGTTTTATCAATCACTTGTCTAAGTTTTTCATCTCTAACTTTAATTATCCAATCAGAAAAAATTTGTGTGTCCCTATCTGGGATAGAGGATGTAGAAGAATGTAATATCGTATTCTTCGCTAACATAAAAATTTTAAAATACGACCATAATTTTAAACAATAGATGATAGCACTCACAATTTTCTCTCTTGAAGTTTTGGGTAAAACATGAAGAGTTTGCCAAAAATCACCTTTGAGTACAATTATTTTTTCTTTGAGTCCTACTTTTCCCCCTCCGAATTCAACTATTTTCCCTCCAAATGGTTCATTTCTAGAGTTTTTATTAGAGAAATTCATTACATCTCTCATTTTGTGATCCAGCACCTTAAAAATAAATATATTCATCATACATGCTCCATCTCATATTATTAGATTTACTTGTTGGATTAATTCTGCTTTCGGACCCTCTTGTTTGATGGCACACATTATGCAATCGCACAAAGAGATTGAGAATCTCAAGTGTAATGTCATTCACCCATGTCCTTCCCCCATGAAAAATTAATGCTGCAATACAACTGGATGTGACATTCAAGACAATCTTATCATTTGACATTAGAGAAATAAACACTGATTTCCATAAAAAAAATATTTTTTCAGTTCCAGTGTAATTATACATAAAACAAATCTCCTCTTTCAGGTGTCACAACTTCTATTATCTCATCGTATATATTGTGCTGATATTCATTCATCGTAGATAAGTGTCTCATAAGATCATATGCAAGCTTTTCTTTTTCACTTTTATAATGCAAAATCATTCAAGCCCTTGATAGTATTCTCGTCAATATATAAAATGTTTTATCAAATCACAAATAATTATAAATTTGAAATTATATATCTCTTTGATGTGGTTGTTATTTGTAACTTGGGAAAACATTGAAAATATACTAAAATAAGATTTACATGTTTTTATTCCCGAAATAGGACTTACATTACCATACATGGTCATATACATTACCAAAAACGTATAGTAATTTGCACATGTACACTGTCACATTACCACAGGGCAAAGTCACATTACCACAGTGCAAAGTCCTATTTCGGGAAAAAAACATGAAAGTC